ATATATGTTCTTTAATAATTTCCATCTCGCTACAGTTCGCTATATATATCAATAATTTCAAAACTTACGATAAATGGCATATGCCTCATCCTGGAAATATGCTCCGCTTTCAACGCTCGGGAAGCACTGGCCGACATTGAAGGCTCTGCTGGTGGAGCCTACCATGTCGTAGACGTTTCCGTTAACTTTCAAGCCTCTAATACAACCCTTTAGAGTTTCCAGTTTGACAACTACTTTCTCTGGGATGGGCGTTCCGCCTTCCGGAAGTCCACCGATATACATCATGGATGCCAGACCGATCCTTCTCGGTACTTTGATGATACGTGGTGTTTGAGTATCCACCAGCAGAGTGAGTTTTCTCTCATCGTGACTGATGACGACGTGATGCCAATTGCCATCGTTGAATGGCGTCTTAAGCAACATCTCCTTTTTCGGTTTGCTCTTTATTAGCAGAAGAAGCTGTCCATCTCGAATGACCATCATCAGATAGTGTTTCAATCTCAGACCCTGCAAAATATACATTAGAAATTATAAGGAATTAATTAAGAAAAAATAAGATCGGAGAACTCTCATAAATTGTATGTGTACTTTGATAAAAAATTTATTGAAGATAAATTCAGTTTTAAATAAAATTATTAACTAATAATTACATATAACCCAACATTCTTACCGGAGTGATGAAGAGCAACCCATTGGGATAATACGTCCTAAAGTCGAATTCTATCGTGTACTTCTTTTCCCAAAATTTCTTAAAATTGAGATAGAGCTGCGTGTGACTGTGCGGCTTGTCGCCAAATTTCAGAGCGCCCGGTTCCAGCGAGTAATAAGGCACCTTCTGACAGCCTTCCGGTTGCGTGGACATTCCTCGGGACAATGATGCCGAAGGTGCGTAACTCGGCGTGTCTTTCCCCATACTCGGTCCCGGACGACCGATTAAAGCGTGATCGAAATTAACGGCATCGTCGAATCGAACGATTCTGAACCAATTAAATCAATCACATAATATATATATTATTTTTAAAATGCTACAATGAAGTAAAATGATAATTTTATAGTCAAATATAATAGTCGATACAAATTTTGTTTGTCATAATCACGTCAAGTTTTCAATGATTTATATTGATAATTATCTTTTATAATATAGAAGATAATTCTATAAATAATTACAAATAAAATTTAATTGGATTTAGCTTTTTGACTTACTCGTCGTTGAAAATTGCATCCTTGATAGCACCGTACAACGGTGTATTCGTGGCGACCATCTTGGTGTTATTGATAAGAGCCGGTAGTCCACCAAAGAAGAGTCCTCCATTCGAATCGGGAGCTTTGATCGCGATGCTGGTAGGTAATCTTCCTGCGGTCTGATATGCGTCATCGATCCTCAACTCTATCTCTTTCCTCTTCTTAATGACGGTGATTGAATGATACCTTCCATCGTTGAAAGTGTTGTTCGATTGGAGAACCAGTTCGCCTTTACCGGCATTCACGCGAACTTGCACTTGTCCATTGAGTATACAAACAGAGTAATAGCTGTCTCTCTGAAAAAGAAAAACAGGAACGCTTTCTTGACAATCTGTAATGTGCAAATAAATTTTGTTGCAAATAGAATTTTATTCTAAACTCCAATTTTTTTTTACAACAAGAAAAACCGAATGGTATTAACGTAATAATGAAGCCTTACTTTTGCTTCTTCTTTTGTATTAAGGTTGTCGCTTAATCTGTCTTCGTGACCCTCGAACGTGGAAAGAAGCAGCATAGCTGCCTCTTGCATGGTTCTGAAGGAAAAGCTCAGTACGGAGTGAATCTTTCGCAAAGCGAATGCGGAATGCTCGAGATATCCGTCTCCATAAAATCCGACAATCCTCAAAGGCTGCGTTAAAGAAATATACGTAAACATAAATTTGTTAACAAAATAAAACCAGTTTATATTTAATTATAATGACTCAAAAAATATCTTCTAAAGAAGTACGAAAATAGAAATGAATTCATTTTAAATATCTTAGACGAAAATTTGTACAATTTTTTGCTCTCTTTTAGCTTGATTATTATGCAAAACAGAAAATGGCAATGCTCACTTTATTACTACAACTGGGCTCCACCCCGTAATACTGTTCGGCCATCGGATCGTAGCCTTCCTGCACTACGATATTGGCCATGCATCCGAGGAACGACACCTGCGAGGGCAACATCAGCTTGTCGGCGCGGAAGCTCGGCGGCAGCCCGCCGATGTAATACTTGGCTTGCGCCAAGTCTGGAATGTCTTCCTTCTTGGGTTGCGGTGTAGGCGCACCGATTCGCTTGTCGTTATCGCCACCGATACTCAGACTGCACTTCTCGATGTTCTTGCGAACCTGATACTGCCGGAAGGCGTCCACCTTCGTCCAATTGCCGGTGTTGTACTTGTACGTCGAGGACATTTCCATACTGACGTTCCCACCGTAGCCAACGTGGAGAATCACTCTGCCTTCCCGCAGAAAGATCATGATGTGCTGATTCTGTTTATAACAAATGTAAAAAGTTGCAAAAATTGGATTATATTGCGCTATGTATATATAAATTGACGATTAAATTTAAATACATTCATACATCTTTGTTGATGGCCAGAAATAGCAATGCATTTTCATCGTATGTCCGAAAACTGATTGACACCCCAAACATATATTTATTGTACGGACCAGACGAGACTCTGTTCCTCACGGCATATCCCTCGCCGTTGAAACTGTAAGCTACATCATCTCTGGCATCTTCCACTCTACAAAACGGACGATTATATTTTATATAATTAGATTACTGAAAATATTTTGTTTGCGTATGTAAAAATGTCAATAGTATAAAATTTATTTAATTTAATTTATTATTTAATTCAATTTAATTTATTTAATTAATTAAATTAGATAGACGTAAATGCTAAAGAGAAATTGAATTAATAGCTTTCACAGCAAATTACCCTTCCACGCAAGCTTTGCAAGCCCTATCTGGCGCGGTCGTAATGAAATTCCAGAGACCGATATGTCTTCCGTCGAGGATCACCTGATGAATTACAACAAGAAAAACCGAATGGTATTAACGTAATAATGAAGCCTTACTTTTGCTTCTTCTTTTGTATTAAGGTTGTCGCTTAATCTGTCTTCGTGACCCTCGAACGTGGAAAGAAGCAGCATAGCTGCCTCTTGCATGGTTCTGAAGGAAAAGCTCAGTACGGAGTGAATCTTTCGCAAAGCGAATGCGGAATGCTCGAGATATCCGTCTCCATAAAATCCGACAATCCTCAAAGGCTGCGTTAAAGAAATATACGTAAACATAAATTTGTTAACAAAATAAAACCAGTTTATATTTAATTATAATGACTCAAAAAATATCTTCTAAAGAAGTACGAAAATAGAAATGAATTCATTTTAAATATCTTAGACGAAAATTTGTACAATTTTTTGCTCTCTTTTAGCTTGATTATTATGCAAAACAGAAAATGGCAATGCTCACTTTATTACTACAACTGGGCTCCACCCCGTAATACTGTTCGGCCATCGGATCGTAGCCTTCCTGCACTACGATATTGGCCATGCATCCGAGGAACGACACCTGCGAGGGCAACATCAGCTTGTCGGCGCGGAAGCTCGGCGGCAGCCCGCCGATGTAATACTTGGCTTGCGCCAAGTCTGGAATGTCTTCCTTCTTGGGTTGCGGTGTAGGCGCACCGATTCGCTTGTCGTTATCGCCACCGATACTCAGACTGCACTTCTCGATGTTCTTGCGAACCTGATACTGCCGGAAGGCGTCCACCTTCGTCCAATTGCCGGTGTTGTACTTGTACGTCGAGGACATTTCCATACTGACGTTCCCACCGTAGCCAACGTGGAGAATCACTCTGCCTTCCCGCAGAAAGATCATGATGTGCTGATTCTGTTTATAACAAATGTAAAAAGTTGCAAAAATTGGATTATATTGCGCTATGTATATATAAATTGACGATTAAATTTAAATACATTCATACATCTTTGTTGATGGCCAGAAATAGCAATGCATTTTCATCGTATGTCCGAAAACTGATTGACACCCCAAACATATATTTATTGTACGGACCAGACGAGACTCTGTTCCTCACGGCATATCCCTCGCCGTTGAAACTGTAAGCTACATCATCTCTGGCATCTTCCACTCTACAAAACGGACGATTATATTTTATATAATTAGATTACTGAAAATATTTTGTTTGCGTATGTAAAAATGTCAATAGTATAAAATTTATTTAATTTAATTTATTATTTAATTCAATTTAATTTATTTAATTAATTAAATTAGATAGACGTAAATGCTAAAGAGAAATTGAATTAATAGCTTTCACAGCAAATTACCCTTCCACGCAAGCTTTGCAAGCCCTATCTGGCGCGGTCGTAATGAAATTCCAGAGACCGATATGTCTTCCGTCGAGGATCACCTGATGAATACAGCCCGGAAGTCCGTTGGTAGCCATCAGTTCCGTCGGCCTTCTCTGCGATTTAGGAATACCTCCTATCCACACTCGATCTGCAGGTAGAACGTCGAAACGACCATACTCTGGGTTGGTCGAATTAATGACAGGAAGATACTTTCCGGATGTCGACGTCTGTCTATGCACGCTCAGCTTGCCTGTGTGTCGAGTTCTGAGGTTGTCAAAAAACATTTGATTATTTTGATTATTCGAGATTAACGTTGTGAGACATCACTTAATAATCTGTTAACTAATCTTTACGACGTTAAATAATTTGCTTGAAAATTGTTATTTACCTTTCAGCCTCGATCCGATACCAAAATCTGTCGTTCTGCAAATCGCCACTTTCGAGAATTTCAGGATGCGTCAGAATACCTGTACCACCACCGACGTTCCATAAAAATCGCACTCTTCTGTCAACTATTTCTAGAGCAACGAAATCGTCCTGCAAGAAATAAAAAAAAAGTCTTGGAACTTTACATATATTATATCATAATTTTCACTTATATTTCATCTTATTTGAATTGATAGATTAATATATTGTGTTATGATAAGCACGTACATTAATTCCGCTGGGCAAGTAAAACAGAGAACCTTCCTTACGCGCGGTTGGAAGCGCGAACGTCATCACGATCGATGTCGTTGCCGAAGGTTGCAACATCGTCGGTCTGTACGAACGGATACATTCCTTATCCTCCACCGATCTCAGAGAGACGCGAATCTGAAAGTGATACGTTATTTTAATATTTTATTAATTAAAAATTTAACAAATCCAAGACTCGCATAATATCTAGTATCTAGCATAGTATCTAGCAATCGATATGATAATGATAATTTACATAGAATCAATCTTATTTTAATTTGTATCAAATTACTCAAACAAAGGAAATAATGAATAGTTACCCCATCGGCGGTGTTTCGGGCCTCTGCAATTTTATCTTTGAGATTCTGCAGTTTTGTGGCTAAGGTATCGTTCCACTTGTCAAAGACGGCTTTTCGTTTCATCGCAGCATTGGATAAGCTTATTAGCTTCGCATCGGCTGTCTTAATATTGCTCATCGCTTCTGACACTAAAATTTATATATTTTCATGACATTATTTAGACCTTTTATCAAATCTTTACACAAGTATCTTTAGAATTATTTAATTAGCCAAATATGTATTAAGTCGAAACAAATATTACATTTTTCGCTGGCCAAGCTAATTTTTGAATCGCCTTCGCGTTTTAAATCCTGCAATTTCGGCTTCAGTCTGTCGGCGATGCCATGTTTGTAATCGTCAATCAGTCGTTGCGTGTCACTTACAGACTTCGTTACTTCGTCGTTCTCCTCCAAGATATTTAATAGATCCTCATGCACTGATAAAAAGATTTTTATTAATACAACATTGTTATTTAAAATTTCCTTTATACAGCAAGCATTGCTTTCTTGAAGTTTTTAAGATTATTGAATATATTGTAAAACACATATTTACATTTCTTGCTATTGCTCTGCAACTCTCGCAATTTCACATTTATCTCATTGTCGTTTATGCCAGTGCTGTTCAATGTATTCTTCAGCACGAGTACAGCTTGCTTCTGAGCCTCCAACTCGGCGTTTGCATTCTTGATAAGTTTATCGTGCTCTTTCGCTGTTTTCCATTGTTGCGAAGATTTGGCTAATACTTCCTTGGCATTGTTCAGTAGCGATTTCTGTCCCGAAGAGGGGAAAGCCTTGAGAAAGCATCTATATTACATTTATAGCCAACTCTCAAACTTTTATTATTACGTGATTAGAAACAGAAAATCAGAATTTGGAAGAAGAAAAATATAAAATTAATAATTATTATTTTCTAAACATAATCTTAACTCTTCTATAGTAAAATTTTATTTCAAAATATTTTATCTAAAATTTACTTTCTTTTTTATCAAAATATATTTCTAATATTGTAAATCTAGCAATTGTGTGTTTCCTCGAATTTCGTTTCCCGCGATAAAAAGTGGTGCGAAAATAAATTAATAAATACTGAACATCATTAAAATCAAAATATAACACAAATTTAATTTTATTATATAGCAAATTCTCTAAAAAATAAAAGGAGATTTCTCAATGCATATTGGCTTAAATCGAGAAAATTTGATTTGATCGAGGAAAATGAGAAAAATACTTCGTAAAACTCTAAGATTTAAAAATATCACTCTATCGTTTCTTACCTTTCCATGCACTTCTTCGGTAATTTCCTTGGCTGCCATCGCTGTGACTTTCGCCGCTCGCAGACCGTCGACGATGTTCTTGTAGGCTTGGCTGGCTTTCAGAGGACTCGCCGCGATGTCTCGCGTCTCGGCAAAGAGGCTGCTTGATAAAAAGTTGGACTTTATCGAATCGTCAACGCGTTGCTTTATTCGCTGTTGTCGCAATAATGATATTTTGGACTTAAAATACAAAGCAATTACCATTTGAATTAGTTATGCTGTCTCACCTGACGTACTGGTCGACGTAATTGGACAGATTTTTTGCGTGTTGCACCGCCGGCGCCACATATTTCTTGGCGTATTCGTAATTTAGTTGGTACTGGTGTTCCTCCTTCATAGTGAGTTCCTGCGTTGAATTCGCCAATTTGTCTCGCCAGTCCGACTGGTCCTAGAAATCGCGTGACAAACATGCCGATGGATTAAAAATATGCAATTGCTTATTATCGAAGATTTTCTCTATCGGTGCATTGATTTTTCCCGTCCATAATTTTATATCATTATTATAAATTATTTTTAAAATCACGAAAATATTTACATACTTGAATGTTATTTCCCGCGTCGATGAGCAAACCGAGAGCCTCATCAATGAGTTTCTTTCCATCGGATATCGATTCGTTCGTTCCGTCGTGCAACATTTCGATACGAGCGCACTGATTCTTAGTTTCAATGAATGTCTTGTTGATACGGTTGTACAAACCGTCGTAGCTAAACAGTGTTTCCATGGTGTTTTCTACGACTGTTCTCATGTCATCCAATTTTATCTCGTAATCTTTAGCGTCGTCCTGAGCGGCTGACAAGGGCTCAGTTGCGTCGTAAAGAGAATTTAACCATGCCACGTATTTGGTGACGGCACTATTAATAAAAGACATTGCTTAACATATTTATTAAAATTTTTTGTTTAATTAGAAAGGATAATACACTCACTCAAGGAAATTTTCCACCTCCATGACTCTCTGGGCTATATTGACAGATTTCAGGTGATTCAAGATCATCTTTCCCGTTTTTAAGGCCTTCTTGATTTCTATCCTCCTATTGTCATTGCTGTATTGATTGAGTTCCGAAGTCGTACCTGGAAAATCGGAAAAAAATGTGTTAAAAGAGTATTTTTATTACGACGCAATTTTTTAGTAATAATTAAAGCGAAATGTAATACCTTCTATATCTTTTTTTATATTGTTAAGCATAATCTTTCCGGTGAAAATATTATTTTTCAAGTCGCCACTCTTGATCTTCAAGGTATCGGCATATTTTGCACATTTGCTCATCTGCAATTAAAAGATAAGATGTATAAAACGGCTTATAAGAAAAATCGCGTAATTCGTTTTTCTTGAATTATATCATTACAATATTACATCTAGTAATATTACAATCACATACGTTTCTTAACATAACTTCAACATCTTCCGCAAGTTTCTTATAATCGTGCCAAGGTACAGTTTTCATTCTTTGCTGCAGACGAGTTCGTAGTTCCAGTTCTTTGAGATGTGTGGTGACGGTGGAGTCGAAATACGTCAATTCTTCCCACGGAGGTGGAATATATCCGTCTGCTATATGAGTCGTTCCCGCAGTCAATTCGTCAGACAGCGTTGCGACAGTATCAAGCAAAATTCCCGTGCAATTGTCATTGCATGCTAAACACAAAAATATAGTGTAATATAATAAAACGAGATAAGTGTACATTTACAGCAATTACATCGTCACAATCAAAAATTGATAAAACAAGACGTCAACAACATTTTATATAACTTTCATATTTCTAGGTTTATGAAGCTTCGTTTAACGTGGCAAAATCCTTTGTTAGCGAATAAACTTACAAGTGCAAACGTCATTTATGTAAACGTGACGATATGCCGTGCACTGGGAACAATCCCTGCCCGTAGAACCGGGCCTGCACTTGCACTGTCCTGTCTCGCCGTCGCAGGTGTCGCTCAAACTTCCTGCCAAGTTGCAACCGCACGGAACGCACTTGCCGTCCGGGAGACCAGGAGAGCCGTAATAGCCGTAGGCGCAACGTTCGCATTTTCTGCCAATGTAACCTGCGGCAAACAAAGTATAAAGAAAATAGAAAAGTAATAGATCCGTAGAAAACTAACATTTAGAATCTCAAAATTGAAAGAATCTATCAAATATTTTCGCGCGATAGAGATTCGTTCTTTTAAGATTTAAGATAAATTAAATAAAAATTTTTGTTCTATTATTTTTTATATCCTTGTTCACATACCTGGCTTGCAATGACAAATGGGTTCATTGTTTGCACGAATTACGCAAGTACTCGAAAATCTTTTGTCGACCTGCGGGCACGGACACGGCTTGCAGCCCCCGAACTCCGGATGACCGTAGAAACTGTCAGCGCAAACATTGCAGTGTGCACCAATCGTGTTTTCCTGGCAATTCTGCAACGCAAGAGTTTTCAACATTATATGAAAAATTACTCAAAGCTTATCTATTATATGTGTTTGTAAAATCTAAAATATTTACTTATGTATTTTTATATATAATAACTAGGAAAAAATCATTTACAGGATATTAAATAACCCCAATTTTTTTTAAACTTTGTTATAAAAATTACCTTGTCGCCTAGGAAAGAATCCGGCAATCTCCAATATAAAGGATAATTATAATAAAGATTTGGGGGCAATGTAACGTCACCATCGGATCCAGGAATTACAGAGAGGCCATTCGTCACGTTTAAGCCACCATTCACCGTTGGCAGTACGGTCGTGGAGCCAAAGGTCATTATCTATTTATTAATCACGCGATAACGAATATAAAATATATTTATCATTATAAAAAAGTGCAATGTGAGCTTACAAAAATAATTTAATTATATTAATTAATATGTAAATAACACGTATGCAATTATTCCGAAAAAAATGTATATAAGCCTGTAAACGATGCAGATTCGAAGGCTCTTCTATAAGAAATTTATCTTGTACCAACTCTAGCTCATCTCCTTGTATACTTGTCCCTTAGCACACTTCCTGTCGCGCTATCATCTCCATGAATAGCGTATACTTATAGGAAAATGTTAAAGTAATGCTTACCAAGCAATATCCCGTCTCCCTGTCGCACACGTCGGATCTCCCATTGCACTGGCAGCGCCTGGCTTGTCCGACAAGATCAATCACGATGGTGGATGTAGCAGTGGTGTTCTTGTACCACCTGTAAAAGCCAATGCTGGGATCCTGGCAGGATGTGCCGTTGTATTCCGAAGGACACTGGCAGATTTCCACTCCGATCGCCAACGGTGGCGAGTGCGTGGGCGTCAGGACGGCGGCGTCGAGAGATGTCTCCAAGAGTCTGAACGACATGTATAAAATAAGAAACGTTATCACAAATATCTTTATCACTTTCTTTCATTGTATATATTATGTACTGTTATTAGGATTTTTTTGTTTTTTATTTCCAAATTTTTATTACGAAATAAATGTATTGTAATTTATTTTATTCTCTCTATGATGTAATTATTTCTTCAATTATACGTACGTGGTTTTTGTAAACTCGCCATTGTCTGAGGCTTTAACAAGGATATACTGAAGATTCTGTAACGCAACCATTAGTAACTCCCTGGAGACTTTGTAATCCGGCCTGTTTTGTAATTGCCACAGCGACTCGTGGAATCTAAAATAATATTAGATATAAATATACCATTATGTTTTGCAATGTAAGAAATTAAGAATCCAGATTCTTACAGAAGTTAGAAATTAATTAGAAACTTTATATAATATGATATATTCGTCTAATTAAATTAATTTGCATTCGATAATGTATATTTCTCTTTTCGAAATTAATTGTACCGCATATTATTAAAAACTGCTAAATACCTGACTTCATAACGATTATCGTTCACCGGTAGATGTAAATAATATTCCAAGACAATCTTGTTATTGCCTTGCAACTGCACAATAGGATATCGAAGATTCGATCTCAAAGGTATCCCATTTTCCGTTAAGGTTTTAAAGCGTAGAAATCCTCCGTAAGAGACGACCTTAAAGTATGTCAATATGTCGTCTAACATTTTAAATAGTTCAGTCAAACAAGAAAATCGCATACCCTTGCATGGTATTTATAAAAATATTGACTTTAAAAAACTAGTGAATAAATTTGAATAAAAAAATTAAATTTAATAAATTAAATTAAATTAAATCTTTTTTTGCATTTCGCAAATTGCTTTTACAAAGACACAATGCTTAGAAGTGAAAAAAAAAATTACCTTGTCGCCTAGGAAAGAATCCGGCAATCTCGAATATAAAGGATAATTATAATAAATCTAAAATAATATTAGATATAAATATACCATTATGTTTTGCAATGTAAGAAATTAAGAATCCAGATTCTTACAGAAGTTAGAAATTAATTAGAAACTTTATATAATATGATATATTCGTCTAATTAAATTAATTTGCATTCGATAATGTATATTTCTCTTTTCGAAATTAATTGTACCGCATATTATTAAAAACTGCTAAATACCTGACTTCATAACGATTATCGTTCACCGGTAGATGTAAATAATATTCCAAGACAATCTTGTTATTGCCTTGCAACTGCACAATAGGATATCGAAGATTCGATCTCAAAGGTATCCCATTTTCCGTTAAGGTTTTAAAGCGTAGAAATCCTCCGTAAGAGACGACCTTAAAGTATGTCAATATGTCGTCTAACATTTTAAATAGTTCAGTCAAACAAGAAAATCGCATACCCTTGCATGGTATTTATAAAAATATTGACTTTAAAAAACTAGTGAATAAATTTGAATAAAAAAATTAAATTTAATAAATTAAATTAAATTAAATCTTTTTTTGCATTTCGCAAATTGCTTTTACAAAGACACAATGCTTAGAAGTGAAAAAAAAAATTACCTTGTCGCCTAGGAAAGAATCCGGCAATCTCCAATATAAAGGATAATTATAATAAAGATTTGGGGGCAATGTAACGTCACCATCGGATCCAGGAATTACAGAGAGGCCATTCGTCACGTTTAAGCCACCATTCACCGTTGGCAGTACGGTCGTGGAGCCAAAGGTCATTATCTATTTATTAATCACGCGATAACGAATATAATAAAATAAATATCATCTAACAATATTTATCAATTTTTGTAATCAAAATTTTTGAATTAAAATAAATCCTACTGTTCATTTATAAGAATATAATAAGATGAATATCATTTAATAATATTTATCAATTTTTATAATCAAAATTTTGTACGATTAAAATCAATCTTACTGTTACATCACTGGCTGATTCATTGATGTAAAGAACGCGAGGATGTGTTAATCTGCGTTGACCCCAACTGAGTCCAGCCTGCTGACACAGTGTGCTTCTTCCGAAGCAGAAGCACTCGGTACATCCTCTAGCGTTATTTACCGCAAGACCGAACGTGCCTTCTTTGCATTGATTGCACTGTCGCCCAACGACCAATTCCTTGAAAATTATATTTCGTTAATGCGTTTCTCAGATACATCATTCGAAAGCAAATATGCATATTTTTAAAGTTTGGTATTTATTAATTAAATTTTTGTAAAAATCAATATTTCGTTGAACGGAAAATAAAGATTTTTACTTTGCATCTTTTCACTACTTATACTCGTATAAGTTGATGTATTACATTTTATAGAAATTCATAAATTATTAGAAAAAACTATTAGAAAAAATTCATAAATTTTAAAAAAATCAGCTGTATTTTTAATATTTTTTTTCTATAATCCTTAATGATTTCAACGAATAATTTTCGTCATTCAACCAAAAAAATCAGGATGAAATAATACGCTAGTTTCAAGCATACCTTACATTATCGAAAGAGAATTATTCTCTAGTTATTTAAAATTATTCTATTCTGTCATTTCTCTTTCTTTTAATTTGCTTTTTTTAACAGGGTGTCTATCCAAAGCTTGTAAAAAAATTCTCTGACAATGAGAATTTCCTCATTTTTCAGGTAATTTGTTCAAAATTCCAGGGAAAATTAGAGAATTTTTAGATAAAACTTTTTAAAATAAGTTTATTTTGTGTGCGTTTTTTAATGCTTTTCATTCATATAAAGGAAAAATAAACCCCTTAAATTTTTAATATTAAATTTAAAAATGTACTGAAAAGAAATGAATGACTTTTGTAAGATAAGCATTTTTCATTTGCATAATATTTTCATTTTCTATCATTAATTGTAAGAATTACAATAAAAAATGTATACTCACTATTGTGTATTCAGTATTTTTTGCTATGACAATGAACATTATATGAACATATTTGAAACATATAATTCACAATCATTGGCCAATCAGATTGTCAATGCTTGCAATATAAGAACAAAATGATCAAAGAGAGAATTTTTGAAAAAATTCCCTGAGTTCGAATAAAATTCCATGAGAATTTCCTGATTTTTCAAGATAAAAACCAAATCCCTGAGAATTCCAGGTTTTCTAGGTTTTTCCAGAGAGTAGACATTCTGTTTTAATTTCAGTCTTTTTTTAAACATATTGATAATAAACTTCGCTCTTTTGGTCTCACCTTGCAGGGACACTGCCCCTTATCGTCGCACTCGCAGACACCGTCCTGGCACTGCGTTGTCCCGGCGACGTTACAGCCGCAAGGCCGACACCTCGGATAACCGTAGTAACCTCTGGCGCATCTTTCGCATCTGAGCCCGTCGTAACCGATCCTGCAGGGGCACTGACCCTGATGATCGCATTGAGATCGCGTGGCGCCCAATGTGCACGCGCAGGGTCTGCAGCCGATTTGTGGCACCAGATCCCACGCGCCGGGTCTGCACCGGTCGCAATGCTCGCCGTACGTCAGGTGGGGACATACGCAACGACCGGTGTCGGGGTCGCACACGTGACCAGGACGCACGCACGGATCGCACACTGTAAAGCAATCGAGATTTTTCTCGTTCGTTCTCTCAATCCAGCGAGATTTTATGGAAGGGAGGAATACAGGTGTAGCGCACAGTTGGGTGTCTCAGAATCAGCGGAAAGTGTGAAATTAAAGATGTAAATAGAAAAAAAACAAGCCTCGTTTTTTTTTCAGATATTTAATATATCTTTTTATTTTGATTACTGCATATTGATTTTTCATTATTTTTAACTTTTTAGATGATAGATTTGAATTAACCATTATTATTTCAAATGTAGTTCGCATTCCAATTGGCTATACAATTATGTAATTACTATTTTTAATTAGTTAAAAAGATTTCGAAAAAAATAAATTAGAAATTTAAGAACTTTAGTTTTTTTATTGTGTTAATAAAAAATATAAAGAAAAATAATATTATATTAAAAAAAATAATAATGAAAGAAAAACTTTTTTTTTTTTTTTCAATGAAAAAACATTTTTTTTCAACTGTTCTTTTCTATTAGAAAAAAAACATTTTTTTACATCTTTATGTGAAATATTATTGTTTGTTCAAATTTCTAATTGATTTAATATGTATGTGTGTCGATATATTTTATCAAATATAAAAAAGCGTAAAAATAGTCAAATTATTCACCGCCAAATTAAGGATTAAAAAAATATATTATTAACATAAAATTTGTATGTAATTTAAGAAATTGCAAGATATACAAATTATCAGGTATTTGAAGTAAGAGACACCACGTTAATTAAACGAATGTTACTTTAAAAAAATGATCTGACTTACGTTGACAACCGTTCGATGAAAATCCATAATACCCAGAGAGACAACTGTCACAGCGCAAACCATTTACACCCGGCTTACAATAACATCGTCCTGTGTCGCTGTGACAGGAGGTGTTGTAGGATCCTATGGAATCGCAGCCGCAAGCCGTGCAACCCGCCCCCGTTGTCAGACCCCAATAACCAATCTAAATAAATTATAATTCGATAATTAAAAATACCCTCCCCGAGTTGCAAAAGGATCGGTATAAATAGTCAATTTATTATTATTTTAAAAACTTTGCGTATTTTTTTTGTTTATGAAATGCAATTTTGAAAAAGAGAATTATCTCTCAGTATAACTAAATTAAAATCTAATTATCATATACAGGGTGTTCTAAGTCAAGTCAATGAAACTTTAGGGTCTTATAGGAAATTGAATTTGGAACAGAAAAGTTCCTATAAACATAGATCCGGAAACGCTTCTTTAAAAAGTTACAGCTGATAAACTCTCTGTAAATAATTAATTATGATGAAAACTTAATAAGAACATTTTTATGTTTGCATTTGCAATGTTTGCACTACGAATGTAATGTTTACACAAAGACCATCGAAAGGTGACTTTTTCAAGTTTCTGCTTTTTTCGTTGTTTTGAGCTTATATTCTTTTGAACGCCTTATCAGAATTAAATAAAATTGATGTAATTTAGTTTGTAATTTAATTACTAATCAGATTTATTTCGTTACTTTTTTTTAATGAATGAAAGGTTCTGAAATTATTTTTAAAAATCATCAAAACACGTGATTTTTCGAAGTTTATTAGCTATAACTTTTTAACGAAGCGTTTCCGGACCTATGTTTACTGGAATTTTTTTGTTCCAAATTCAATTTCCTATAAGACCCTGAAGTTTCATTGACCTGGAATATTCAGTATTATGCCAATGTTGCGAAGAATCTATCGTGCGATTTGACTTATTCACTGATTCCGATAACGAATAATACGATCTACATATCATGTCTAAAATATAATATTATTTTTCTTTATATTTTTTTGTCAACATATAAATATAATATTATTTTTCTTTATATTTTTCTTGTCAACATAATAAAAAAAAAAAAATAAAGTTCTTATATTCTTAATTTATTTCTTTTGACATTTTTTTACTTAATTAAAAATAGTAATTACATAACTATCTAATAACCAATTGGAATGCGAGCTATATTTAAAATAATAATAGTTAATTCAAATCTATCATCTAAAAAGTTAAAAATAATGAAAAATCAATTTGCAATATTCAGTATTATGCCAATGTTGCGAAGAATCTATCGTGCGATTTGACTTATTCACTGATTCCGATAACGAATAATACGATCTACATATCATGTACGATTATATCTGGCGATACTCCATCATAGATCAATAAATTTTTTTTTCGAAACTTGATACAGTTGCATTAAGAAAAGCAACGCATTTGTCTTCGCTACTAGATGCCTGTCTAGATAATGTAGCTACGTTACAGATCACCGAGTTTATCTTAATCGGTATTCAATATTGTATTACCAACTTGATTCTCTCTCTCTTTTTCCCTCTCCTCTTTCTCTGACCTGAATCTTATAATATTACACACGATTTATTTAAACATGCAATGTGATTCGCAAGTTGAAGATTACCTTGCATTCGTCGCATTGTCTACCGATAACTTGCGGTTTGCACTGACATTGCCCGGACACGATGTCGCAGGTTGAGCTCGCGGAGCCCAAGTTATTGCAGCCACATCCTGCAATCATAAAAAAAATATTGCCTGTTAAAAATAATAATCAATCCTCCTTATCTTTTCTTTTTTAGAGAGTAATCCATCCGTTTTATAAATACGATTAAATATTTTTAGATAATAACTAAAAAGAAATCTGTCATAATAAATCAAAATCACGAATTTTCATCCGTGAAAAATTGTTCTTTCCGGAAAATGATGATATCATCTTTAAAATATTATTCCCATTCAAATGTCGACGATTTCTGAATGACAATAATTTGTATTGTTTCATTGTAACGTCTATGTTTTAACGTTCAACGAAGGGGATGCTAGAGAAGATTTTCAAAGCGACGAGAGCCGTAATTAAATGATCATCGAGACAGGCGCCGACAAGTGCCGACAGCGGTCTCATTAATAATTCATATAGGCACCATTCTCGCATTCGCGCTAATTACACATTACTAACAAACGTTTGCGCTGCGTCTCTAATCGATTTGCGCGGCGCGAAATTCTTTCGGGGCCGTTGCGCGATAAGAGTTCTCGGCCGCACGTGCACGAGCCGACTTTGTCCGGCTCGGTCACGTGCGAGCGACGACATTTATGCGGCATCGAGCGGATTTTGCAATTAGCGATGCCGTCGTCGAGCGCCGGCATTGTATTCAAATGCAGCAGACGACGACGTCGGCTGTCGTTCACGGCCCGCGTAATGCCACGGAAATAATAAATTATGCATGATCGCATTGAGAGGGTATCACGGTCGTCTGTCGCGTAGCGATTCCCCGATTAACGACAGCCCTTACAAAGGGATTACGCGCGAGAATTGATTCCGTGACGCAATCGCGTGTTTACACGCCGATTGATTAAATAATACCTCAGGTAGAGATGTAAAAAAACCGTCTTTTTTTTTTCTAATAGAAGAAACCAGTTGACAAAAATTTTCAATGAAAAAAGAAAACAAATTTTGCTTTTCTTTATTATCTGAAAAAAAATTTGAAAAAAGGTGTTTTTTTTTTATATAAAAAAACCGTTTTTTGTATAAAGAAAGTTTTGTTTTCTTTTCTATTTATATCTCTACCTCAGAGACATGCATGCGTGATTATTATGAACAATACAAAATTGAGATAACTGACGTGCCTTATTTGTGAAGTATACAATTGAAATTATTTGTGTGCATATTTTTCAAACATTTCTCTTTTCAAGAGTGTACTCTCATCCAGCTTTTCTTAAAAAATTGTTTTTAAAAATTATAAATGCTATTAATTTTCATATGTTTGACTAAGGATTATATCAATCTTATTGTGTAAGCCAATTGCACAATGTATGACATAAACATCCGAGACAAATGAATAATTTCGTCTCGCGGTGTTTCTCTGTTGCATGTCAATTCCGATCAATCATGTCACGCGGGACATTATTTCCCACAGATTGTGTATAATAGCTCTTACGTCATTGAATAATAATTGTACAGGGAGTGTATGGCTGCGATGTAGCTTTGCAAAGTACTATTGAGACATTAGATCCGATTGAATCGAAAGTTTAATTTGTTAGGCGTTAAATATTGAATGAAAAGATAAAATTCCAGACAAATTCTTTTATATTCTTATAGCTTCTTACATGCAGTCCACATAAGTTATTCTCCTTTTTTTTTTTGACAGATGTAAAATGATTAATGGCAGAAATACGAGTTCTATGAGAAATCAATAAAAATTGATGTAACGTATCAAGGAACTGGCAATTGCTGTCGGCATTCTAAAGAAACACACACGTGCAAATGCCTCATACTAACTCACATTCCATCATGAGTTGAATAATTAGCCGAGCGTTTCAACAATTCTAAGGATCAATTAACGATCCAATAATCAAACAAGATACAATAATATCGCGTTGTCACGTATTTATTTACTATCCTTTAATTTTACTTCAGGAGGATTTTAATTCATTCTCTTTTTTTAATTCCATGCTCTACAATTTTTATCTCATGGTATTTTCCGATAAACCTGATAATTTTAGTGTTATTTTAAATTTTTTGGTGAAAATTTATTTGTTCCTTGTTTTACGTTTTTCTTTAAAACGAAGTAAAAACGAGCAAATCTCGAAAGGATTTTTTTTTTTAATTTATCGATTTCCCACAAGCTCACGAAGTTTTGACATTTAATTTTGGGACACCCTGTATATGATCATCTTACCAATTAATTTTTACGACAGAACAGACACCAGGACTCTGTTGACGATGTCTAAAATGCATTTCAAGATGCAAACAGGAATGCTCATAATAACATCGATGTTATCGGTAAAAGCTTAAAAATCGAACGGTATCTGATTAAATTTTAGCTGACTCACTTCAGTTCACACGACGAAAGAGTTGAAGCATTCCATATTTCTTCGCATAAGCCGCGTACGTACGATATAAAAATTTAAATCAGCTATATTATATGACATTGGTTACCTGATATGAAAATTTCAACATTCTTGGATGTGCGGAAAACGAGGCGCGACTTTTAATTATAATGTATCTCGTCGCACCATATGCTCGCTTTAACATGTTGGTTTAACGAGCAGAGACGTTATTATCCGCGTGAAATTATCTCTGCCAACGTACCGATTCTCACTTCGAGAATAACGCGGGATGCGATTTGAATAATTATCATGCGGCGCAGATTTATGTCATGTAATGATGTGTTAAGTATTTTCCGCGAACGTGCAATCGGGAGCTGTCACACACGTGGCACGTATTAATTTTGCGCGTCGAGTTATTACGCACGTGTCGCCGGAGAGACTTTTATACTGCAAATTTAGAAAAAATACAGATAGTGACAGTAACAAGCCGCTTTAATCAGACGCAATTGCATTGGCTATATACAAGTTGTTCTATGCGCTTATCTTGTTTTAAAATTTAATAGTTCTCCAAAAAATCTCATGCGTGATGTTTTTGACATAAGAGATATTTCTTGTATTATTACGATAATTACATTTCCTTGTCATATTTACACGTTAAATATTGTATAATGTATAAAATTGTATTGTTTTTTGCTACTTTATTCATTTTCTATTTTGTCCTTCGCGCTTCTCTCGCTAAGAAATATTTTTTATATAAATATTCCAATAAGAGTAACGTCGACATGTGGACCGAACATGGCAAGTTGACAAGCGAGATTTGTTAACTATGACTTATTATCGCATTTGTTCGCGGCAAAATTATAGCAGACTGCGCCTTGAAAATGTCGGGGAGCATATAAAATAAACTGCTAAAATTTTGTTTTGCGTCATACGGGAACGTTTATATCTATTAGACGTCAAAAACAGGACGCATTTAATAATCTAGATATAGCGGCAATTAAAGAGAGATGCTCCGGTTGATTGTCAAATAATCACACGCGATTGAAGACTTTATTATAAAATTGAAGCTTTGGAAATAATACAGGTACTATATTTCGTTTTTGTTCCTGTCTGCTTTTAAAACTCATTCTACGTGACATATATTATAAGTCGAGGATGTCGAGCCGGGACGCGAAAATGCGATTTTCACGCGACGCGGGATTAAAGTGAAGTTTCCGCTTATAATGGAAACAAATTCGCACAGGCGAGGGGGGATTAAAGCCTCGTTAGGGCAAATATAGTGGTGGCGCGACGTATGATTAATTCAGACAGCGCGAGCGGCGGCTATCGCGCGCATAAATAATGATCCCGTGTCTCTAATCCCGCCAGGCATTCAGATATTCGCAGATGAATAAGTGTCCGCGTTCTCATTGCACAAAAGCGACAGGATCGAGTCTGCGTGCGATCGCTAATCGTGACAAATACACGTCGTCCTTTGAACACCGTCAAGTCGCACGCAGCAAGGTTTATTAATTATAACGATCTGATTCGAGTCTTAATGTCGGCTCGATCCTGTCCGCGATTCGAGAATGAAATCACTGCGCGGAGAGTAAATTTATCCAATTATTAAAATACACGTCCAGACAATTAGAGAATTATATCTAGTATATGTGCCTGGTAATTAACGTTCTTAATTCAAGGCATTTATGATTCATTATCCAGGGTGTCTATCCAAAGCTTGTAAAAAAATTCCCTAAGAATTCCCTTATTTTTCAGGTAATTTATTCAAAATTCCAGGTAAAATCAGAGAATTTTTAGATGGAACTTTTTAAAATAAATTTTCTTTTTTGTATGCATTTCTTAATGTTTTTCACTCATACAAAGGAAAAATAATCTACTTAAATTTTAAATATTAGATTTAAAAATGTACCGAAAAAAATTGAATGACTTTTGTAAGATAAGCATTTTTCATTTGCATAATATTTTCATTTTCTATCATTAATTGTAAGAATAACAATGAAAAATGTGTATTCAGTATTTTTTGCTATGATAATGAACATATAATCAAAAAGAGAAAGATATATATTTATAATATATTTGAAACATATATAATTCACAATCATTGGCCAATCAGATTGCCGATGCTTGCAATATAAGAACAAAATGATCAAAGAGAAAATTTTTGAAAAAATTCCCTGAGTTCGAATAAAATTCCATGAGAATTTTCTGATTTTTCAAGATGAAAACAAAACCCCTGAGAATTCCAAGTTTTCTAGGTTTTCCCAGGGAATAGACAACTTTTTATCGATATCACAACGACCAAATAAATTTTTTCTTTTCCTTATTAAAAAGATATAATTTTGACACGAATAATTTCTAAAGTATATATAATTTTGTAAAATGAAATATAAAATAAAAATATGGAAGAAAAAATGCAAAGAGTTTTGTTTATAAAAGAAAAACCAATCTTATATAAAAATTTTATAGCTCTTTAAAGGAAACAATAAGATAATTCGCATCCTATGCTGTGCTCTATATCTCGCGAAGTGTCGCAATAGGAGGCAGAAGATATGAGTATGATTGCGCGGAAATTAATAATGAGCGACGCATCAAGCTCATAATCTCGTCATTTATAAACAAATGGTTCGAGCCTTCTTTGAGCTACGACCGCGTCTCTCGTCAGGCTATTTCGAAGGTAGCAGTAAACG